GGACGAAAAAAGTTTATTTCGATGAGCAAGTGAGATTGGTATCGGCAACTGTCGGATTCGGTAGTGCTCTTCTTACAGGTTAAATTTCGTTTCCCGAACTTTCCATCCGAGCGAACTGGTGACACTCTCGTCGATGTCGAACTGCACAATGACCTCAAGTGCTTTGATGGTCGAAGCCTCTATGCCCTGGCAGGAGGATGTAGTAGGCTGTGGGATAATCCATCTCGACTCACGCTGGATAAAATGGTCAGTTGGATGGCCACCTCTACCTCGGAGGTGTTCCCTCATCGTCAACGAAGCCTGTAATACGACACATTCATCAGCCCTCGGTGGGAATTGGATCTTTCAGGTCGTACCTATCTTTTGAGGATATGCTACGTCAGGGGTATATCCTCTAGGCATGTACACTTACTTTGTAATATCGTCATCACCTCATTGGTTTTCCCACATCGCCCCACTGGTGAACTACTCAAATATGCGACTTATATCTTTACTTCAAGTGGCTGTAGATGGCAGAATCTCGTGTATATGTTACGAGCCTAACTGCACTGTATTGTATCTTCCAAGGGTTAGGGCTGCCACTCTAACTGTCGCTTTTGCTCCGTCGATCGACGGCTTTGTCCATTGTCTCCTCGAAGAGGGTCTATCTCTCTGCTAAGTTTCAACAGTTTACTAACGTGTCGGCGCGGATTGAGTTAAGTCTCGATATTGTAACGGCTCCTCAACAAATACATGGAGACCTTGCACCAGTAGGGGTGTAGTTTCATGTCTTGAATTGTAGAGAAATGCGTTTGATTTTTCATAATACATCGGATGCTTCCCAAGTAACCGGAGACACTCCAGGATCGGTAACAGAAAAGGACCTCGAGGAAGGACTGAAGGCTCGGGATGAGGATTTGGAACAGTTGAGAGTAGGTAGTAGCGAGCACTTCCTACTACTCCTGCGCCTATCGAGAAGTAACTTTTCCAGTACTTCGATATTAGTCTCGTTACCACAACGACTTTGTGGGTCGGTCTTGCGCCAGTGGCGACTACCGTTCCTTGAGTTTTGAGATCGTTCATGGAGGCGTTGTGTCCAAGACGCCTCCTACGCCTGGCAGTAGAATTCAGTAGATTGTTGTTGTTGTCAGGCGTCGTTGTCGTCGGTGCGAGATGATGTCTCGACTATGTCAAAGAGAATCTCGAGTGATCTCGAGGATGCAAGGCGAACGATTGGGTCTCAGGAGAGGCAGCTGGTGTGTGCTCAGGATTTGTACAAGTATGAAAAACATCTTAAGAAGAGGCTCTTATTGTTGTTTTAGGTTCTCATCGGAGCAGTCTAAGCTGATAGCTAATTACTGGCAGGGACAAGCGAAAATGAAGGATGAAAATATTGTGTTTTTTAATCAGAAACTGGCAGATGTGAAAAATAGTTACTTCTAATTTTCCCTCGAAGTGTTGGCCTTTAGGCGCAGCCGATGACCAGCACTAGCAGCTCTGCGGTGGCCGGTCGTTTCCCAAGTCCCGCCACAAAGGAGGACGAATTCAGCTGCCTGCAAGATCGTCATGATAAACTCTTAACGACGTGCATGCGGTTGGAGGAAGAGCTTAGGCTTCTGAGGAAACACCACGACAAGATGGGTGATGGGAGGCACAGAGCGGAGGTAAGACGAGGTGTTCCTTGGAAGGTCTCTGTGACTACCCTCCTAGGTAAGCGAGGCTGATTCGGCTAGCGAGTCGTCGAGCTCACCACGGAGTGTACATTCGAGTGATCAAGGTGTAGAGCAGGACTCCTTTAATGAGAACACTGGCATATTGAAAAGGCAAGTCGCCGAATTTTGTGCGAGCTCACTTGTAGTTCCGAGTGCCAATTCCCGTGATTAGGTCTTCGTCAGAGCCGTCGTGTAGTGCTTCGGCTCTGTCCCCGTCCAGCCATAGTCGTCGGGCTTCATCGTTGGACCGTCCGAGGGGCTCCTCTAGTTTTTCTAGCATCACTTCAGACTCTTCTGATGATATTGAGGGACAGGAAATAACAGAGGCTGTAAAGGTAGCGAACAGGCGATCGTTCCCGCTTCCTGCTAGGGGTGTCTCTCGTCTTAGAAACTCCATCATTGCACTTGGCGAGCTCAACTGAAAGTTAGAATAGAGCAGCTGGAGCGGCTCTCCAAGCAGCTTGACGATACGTAGTGTCGGCCACTTTGAAATCATAATCCATGAGTTTTGATTGACAGTTACAACACGAGTTTGAACCTGGGCGATCAGCTGCGACAACAGTCCGAACAAATGCTACAGTTGCAACAACGCAACGACGAGCTCGAGAGATCAGAGAAGAAATGGCAGAAACTTTCTGATAAGGTGACTTCGTATGAGGCTGACCACATTAGGGTTGTTATCATTGTAGTTGCACCATATAGGCACAAACTCAGCTGAATGCATGCTTGACAACTTTAGCGCAGCAGTCGACCGAACTGGAGCGGCTGGCTGAGAAGGGTTCAGATCATCATCGGCTGACACGTACAGCAGCAGCTTGGAATGCAAAAACTGCGAATTTCAGGAAGGAGGTGCTGATAGCACGTGGAGGAGTTAACTTCGAGTTGAGATACCTTTCCTCAGGTTGAAAGCATCCAATTGGCAATAGAAGACATGAGGTTGGACTTATCTGCCGAATCGCTTTGAACCATACCATTCTAACATTCGTGACATTGCTCGCTAGTTTCCTTCCCTTTTCTATACTGAGTTGTAGTACTGACGCAGAT